CCCCACACCCACACCCACCCACACCCCACACCCTATACACACATACAAGTAATCAAAAAAAAATATCGTTTCATCTGTGTTGTTTCGCATTTTGCCATTTGCATTGAAATAAGGAAAGGTAAAATTTTTTCTCCAATCAGTAAATCATTTTCATTTTATACCATGTTCCCTATATTAAATTAGTAATTTTGACCATTATTTTAAATTTTGAGAAATTTTCTCATGTATTGTTTATGAGTGCTGTGTACATAAAGAAATAGGGAAAAAAATGGTTGGTGTTCAAACATTTTTTTGACTATCTGTACACAGATGATGGGTCATAAATAGAATACGATCAAAATATTCAACATCTGTACTCTGTTTAAATCAAATGGACTGATTTTTTTTATTGGCAGTAGATGATTGCTCAAAATTTCTTTCATAAAAAAAACATTGATAAAAATATGTCATGACTTCTTATTATTGACCTCAGTAAAGAAATGTAACTGTAAAATGAATCTTCGAAAAGGTATCGTTGACAAAAATATTATTATCATAAATAAACCATGTTCTATCTAATTAGAACATTTTTCAAATTTTAGGGGGATGCTCTCAGTTTAATTCCTTTTGGATCTAACAATATGTCCTACTAACACACAATTGAATGTTGATTATGTTTTGTAGCTCGGAAACTACGTTTTTCTTATTCAATATGTTAAGTTGAGTCTGAAGTTATTCATTCGAAAGTAATCAGACACATTTCGGTAATTTTAATTCTGTTGATGACAAGAAGATGGAAAAACTGATGTTTTTATTTAGAAAAGCCTATATAGTTTTTTCTCTTCACACATATAGCTGTTGTTTGTGTCTCATTGCTTTTTAAAAATTTTGTTATATTGCTGATCTATTTCAATATTACTAAAGTTTGGGCATTTGGATTGAAATTAGGCAAGTGTTTTTCTAATCAAGTTCTCAGTGAAGAGTTGACAGCATAGAAAATAGAATTTGGTAGATAAAACCAGGGCCGAAGTTCAGTGCGTACACATTCAGGATCGTCAATGAGTTTACATACGGTCTTTGTAAAAACTTCGTCCTTAGAAAATCATCCTTTTTTCGGAACTTCTTCAAAACCATCAAAATACTTGCAGAAGTGTATCTGCATTAAGTAACATTACTTCGACACTTCCAGCATCTTCTTTCGTAGAAATATTTGGATCGATTTCATGACAGATGCTTCTGCGACACTTGTTCCCTAACGACAGTTGTTCTCCGGACACTTGGTTTGGCGACAAGGGTGTGGACGTGAGTGAGCAACGAAGTGACGGGCATTCACAGCCGTCGCATTTCCCACACCCACATCCATCGAATGGTGAAAACTGCTCCTCGATACATGTGATAGTAATCCAGAAAAATCGAAATTACAATTCATTCTTTCATTATACAAAATTCAAACAAAAGTAATTTTGGAGTCGATTCACCAAGCAGAATACTCCAACAAATCTAATCAATGTTCCAAGTACAATTCGACTATCTCTATCCAACAGTGAAAACCATAGCTCGATACATTGTACGCGAGATCGAAGACTCAAGAGACCGATTGGAAGACTTTTTCGATTCGACCGAACTTAGTAGATTCCTGTGATGTTTTTAGAATTAATGAGAAAAAAAAACTGGGTAAAACGCTGAACATTTGCTTATCGAAAACATGAATTTTGCGAGATTGAGATGTGAACTTTTCTCCCAATAGGAAAACTCTAATAAATTCATGTGAAATATTTCTTTCTTTCTTAATCTAATTCTAACAATCTATATCTTGGAAACTTTGTGATACTTTTTACAAAAAAAACAGAGAATTATTTTGCACTTTGATTGCAAATGTAAAATGTCATTTGACACTTTGTTTCAGATTTCTATTAGAAATACTGATGGCAAAAATGAAAAAATCTACGGACGGTCATAATTATTCATCTTCTGAAGATGCACATCGTGAATTTGGAATTTCCATTCAAGAATTAGAAACATTAATGCAAAAACGAGGTCATGAAGGTATTAAAGAACTTAATGAAACATATGGTGGTCTTAGTAGTATTGAACAAAAGCTTAAAACAAATTTAATAAATGGTAAAAAAAAAATTAATTGATTGTTTTTATTGATTTATTCTTTTATAAGGTTTATCTGGTGATGACAACGATTTATCAATACGTATGGCTGCATTTGGTCGTAATGAAATTCCACCAAAACCACCAAGAACATTTCTCCGTCTTGTACTTGATGCTTTATCAGATATTGTACTTGTTAAACCTATTATATTTGCTATCATTTTATTTGCTTTATCATTTTATTATCCAAGTGGAGAAACATTTGAAGCTGAAGCAAAACCAAGTAAATTTAGAATAAAAACCAAAAACGAAAGACCAAGGAATTTTTTTTTTCCTTTATTTAATTTTTTCAGAGGAAGCAAATGTTGCATGGATTGAAAGTCTAGTAATTATTATTGCTGTAATTGTAGTTGTTCTCGTAACAGCATTTAATGATTGGACAAAAGAACGACAATTTCGTGATCTTCAATCAAAAATTGAACTTGATCAAAAATTTAATGTTATTAGAGGAAGTCAAGTATATCAAATTTCAATAAAAGATATTGTTGTTGGTGATATATGTCAAATTAAATATGGAGATTTATTACCAGCTGATGGTATTGTTGTACAATCAAATAATCTCAAAGTTGATGAATCATCATTAACTAGAGAAACAGATTTAATTAAAAAACATGAATCAGAAGATTCATTTCTTTTTTCGGGTTAATAAATTCGGTCTTTTTGTTATTAATAAAAAACTAAATAATTGTTTTGAATATTTGTTTAGGTACGCATATTATGGAAGGTACTGGTAAAATGTTAGTTTTGGCTGTTGGTACACATAGTCAAGTGGGAATGATATATAAATTATTGGGCACAATCAAAGAAGAAAATAATGATAATAAAAAACAAAGTATGACATATAGATTTTATTTTAAACTTTAAATATTTCCTAAACTTTTCCGTAATACATATTCAGATACTACTGCCGATGAAGACGTTAGCAAACGTCAAGTAAAACCAGAATCGACGACGACAGGTATTTTTCTTTATTTTAATGTCGTTAATTTTATATTAATCTTAACTTGGTAACTGCTACTAAATCACTAATCAAAAAAAAGATTTCTTGTTTATCTTTTATTTTGATAATGTTAAGCAAAAAATTCTTTTTCTTTTGTTAATTAGATGCAGCTGTGAATAATCAGGGTGCAACTACATTACAAGAAGTTATACCTGATAGTGCCAACCAAGCAAATAATAAAGATGATTTTGATCGTTTTGAATTTGAAGAACGACCAAGTCTACAAACAAAATTAACAGAATTAGCTAATCAAATTACATATGCAGGTAAAAATTAATATTAATCGCTTTTTTTTGTTTCGTCCATCAATTTTTATTTTAATTTCATTTCTTTCTATAATTATTTTTATATGATTAAAAATTCTTTCGAAATAATTCAATCTATTTTTTGATTTAGGATCTAGTCCATTTAAGCCACGAGCGAGCTGCTCAATCGAGGCAACGATGGGCAAGTCAAGTCGAAAATGACTTGACTTGGGTTAAAAAAAGTCTGACTTGCCAATCGCTGAATCGAGATCATCAGATTTTGCTCGAGAAAAGAGTTTAAAGAATTTTGACGCAAGCTGTTCGGAAAAAATATTATTCTGTTATCGAGATATTTAACTTTTCCTGAGGGTAGTAGCATCAAAAAAAGCATATTTTTGTGACATCTATATCTCATCAAGGACACATGTATTTGACTTGAAATTTTTACGATGAGTAGCTGATATAGACTGACTCTTATACTTAGTAAAAACAAAAGAAAATTTTTTTTTCTAGGCAGAAGAATTTTTATTTTGATTGTACTTGTTCTATTGGTTTCATTTGTAATTGAAGAATTTGTTGAACGGTAAACGAAAAAAAAAATAGTTTTTTTTTTTCATTAATTTGTTTTTCAAATATTTTCTATAGACGTGAGTGGAGTAATGAATTCCGTAGTCGAGTTGCAGGATATTTAATTACTGGTATAACAGTACTCATCGTTAGTGTACCTGCAGGTTTACCATTAGTGGCAACAATATCGTTAGCATATACTGTTAAAGTAAGTTAAATAATATGAAAATTTTTTTTGTTGATTTATAAAGTAATTTTTTTTTCTTCTATTAGAAAATGATGAAAGATAATAATTTAGTTCGTCATTTGGATGCATGTGAAACAATCGGTAATGTAACGACAATATGTGTTAATAAAACAGGAATATTAACAACAAATTGTATGACTGTTGTACAAGTCTATGTTGCTGAAAAACACTGGAAAAATGTTGAAAATTCAACTAAAGAAATTATTATACCAGCTAATACAAAAGAAATTATAATTGAAGGTATATCTGTTAATAGTAATTATTCATCAAAAATATTAGTAAGTTAATATTCAATTTTTCAAAAAACTAAAAAAAAAAGAGACTGTTTTTGATTTTTGTTTTTTCCTTCTTCTTTTAGTCATCAACCGAACAAGAAACATTACCAAAACAAATTGGAAATAAAACTGAAAGTGGTTTATTAGATTTTGTTAGTGCTCTTGATGGAAATTATGATGAAATACGTACATATTATCCAGAAGAAAAATTTCTTCATGTTTATACATTTAATTCAGTACGAAAAAATATGTCAACAATTATTCAACGACCTGATTCAACTGTACGTATGTATACACGAGGTGCATCAGAAATTGTTTTAAAAAAATGTAAAACAATATTAAATCGTAATGGAGACATAGTACCATTTTCAACTGTTGATTGTGACCGCCTTATACAAACAGTTATTGAATCAATAGCACGTGATGGTTTACGTACAATATGTTTAGCATATAGAGATTTTTCATCAGATAGATTACCCGATTGGAATGATGAAACTAGTATTGTAGATCAATTAACATGTATTTGTATATGTGGTATCGGAGATTCTGTACGACCGGATGTACCTATTGCGATAGCTAAATGTCGAAATGCTGGTATAACAGTAAGAATGGTTACAGGAGATAATGTTGATACAGCTCGATCGATTGCACTTAAGTGTGGAATTATATCACATAATGACAATGCTTCAGTGCTTGAAAGTGAAGAATTTAATAGATGTATAAGATCAAAAACAAATGGAGAGGTAGAGAAATTTAAAAAAAAAATTTGTAATTTTTGTTTTTTTATTGTAGATTGAACAAAATTTATTTGATAAAGTTTGGCCATATTTACGTGTATTAGCACGTTCATCACCACAAGATAAATATGTACTTGTAAGAGGTATTATGGCATCAAAAATCAATCCGACACGTGAGATAGTTGCTGTTACTGGTGATGGAACAAATGATGCTCCTGTCTTGAGAGAAGCTGATATCGGTTTTGCTATGGTTAGTGTTTTGTATAATTCATATAGGAGAGAATTAAATTGTAAAACATGATATGATGAATAATGTTCATTGGGTCAGATTTTGAGAGTAACTTAATTTGACATTATGAAGTTTGTTCAAAGTCAAATTTAGATTGGCGAGAGAAGTTTCACAATTGATTAATCGCTTTTTAGGCGAGACTATCTGTATTATATAGGTTCTAATGAGTTACAAAAACATTCTGTAAATAGTTCAAGCTCTTCGCTTAGTATTATTGAGATGCTATACTTTTGAATATAATACCATAGTTCCTAATAAGGAATTATCCAGTGAAACTTTTAAACTTTGACAATCTGTCCTTAAGTAACCAAGTTCTATTCAGAATCTTCATAACTTATTGAGGAGGCCTACGTGATGTATATAGTAACGATTAATCATTTGAAAAACTTCTCTGAGCTCAATAGTAATAAACTTTATCAACTATTTGTATTATGCTAAATTTTGATTGTCTAATTTATTTAATAGGGTATACAAGGTACCGATGTAGCAAAACAAGCATCAGATATAATTCTTGTTGATGATAATTTAAATTCAATTATCAAAGCTATTATGTGGAGCCGTAATCTTTATGATTCAATAGGAAAATCTCTTCAATTTCAATTAACTGTTAATATTGTTGTTGTATTATGTGCTTTTATTGGAGCATGTATTGTAAGAGATTCTCCATTACGTGGCATACAAATGTTATGGATTTATTTAATTATGAATATATTAGCATTATTAGCACTTATTATTGAAGTACCAACAGAAGAATTATTAACACGTAAACCTTATGGACGTATACAACAATTAATATCTCGCACAATGATGAAAAAAATTATTGGTCATGCTATTTATCAATTAGCTGTTATGCTTTTTATTTTATTAGCTGGTAAGCAAGAAAAAAAATAGAACCTACGAATAGAGATTAAGACTCATTTTTTTTTGTTTTTGAATATAAAAGGACCTAAAGTATTTAATATTGATGATGGTCGTCCAATTGATAGTACATTTAAACCATCTCAACATTTTACAATGATATTTAATGTATTTGTCTTAATGACTTTATTTAATGCAATAAATTGTCGAAAAATTCATGCTGAAAAAAATATTTTTCATAGAATATCTAAAAATCCAATTTTTTATGGTATATGGGTTGTTACATTTATTTTACAAATTGTTCTTGTTCAATATGGTTCATTTATATTTTCAAGTGTTGCATTAACATTTAAACAATGGATGTGGTGTCTTCTTTTTGGTGTTTCAGTTCTTCTATGGAATCAAGTAAAAAAGATTTAGTTTTATTTTAGTTTACTTTTTTAATAAATTTTATTTATTTTAGATACTTAATTTGATCCCAATGACACGTTATATGCCGACATTGGGTGGAAGTAATGTTTATGAACCAGTATTACCTGGTGAGTTAGATCGAGAAGAACAGTCAAGACCAGAAGCAAGTCTAACAAAGGACAAACACTTTGGCCACCACGAATAACATGTGTTCTAATACAAGTATGTAAATATCAACCTATGTACTCATAAAACTTGCTTACTCTTTCTTTTTTGTTTTACTTCGCTAATGTCAATGCATGTGTACATTAAGACTTAACAAAAATTAATGTGTCTAATAATAATTTTTTTTCTAATCGAGATATTGAAGAATTTTTTTATTATGAATATAAGATAGAAAATTTTTTATAAGTCTAAAATCAAATGATATAATAATTCAAAAGAAACAAAATGATTATTTTTATTTTGTCAAGAATTAGTCATTATAATAAATAGATTATAGAATTAATCTCTATATTTCTATTAAGAAAAAATAAAGTAAATCAATTTTATTTTTTGTCTATTTACCTTAATTATTATTTATCTACAATACCAAGGAAAATTAACCATTAGTTACCTCTAATATTGAGTGTTCAGACGTACAGGAAAATCATTTTTACGATTTGAATGGTCTTTTGGGACATTTCGAGTGAATTCAGCCATCTTCCCAGTGAGAAATTTTTTTTTATCTTATGAATCGTGTAAATCTGTTGCATTGTACTGTAGTAATTATTGGATTGTTAATTAACCGTTGGCCAAATATTAGCTCGATGTTGCCAAATGGCAACATCCGACCGGAAACGATTAATCATATTGATTATCATGCATCTGTGTTTGTGTCTTGCTGTGGACATTTATTTGATACCCTAAAAGAAAACAAAAGTAACCTGAAAAGCAGCAGAAAAAAAAAGCTTGTTAGTGCAACCCTTTTGGGCCTGAAATGTTGAACTCATACATGCTCTTTTCAGCTTCATTATACTAATATGAGGTATAGAAGGTGTAAAAACAAAAACTTTTTTATTATTTTGTTTTTTGACGGGCGTCCTTGTGTTTCGCTTTCATTGTTGCTTAATCAATATTCTCCTATCTTTTTGTTTTTTTATCTAACTTCTTATTTATTTAATTGTTAGGTATTTTATTATTGGCTTTTTTGATAAAAGAAAAATATCGATCAATTTTTCCTGTCTTTATTCGTACAATTCTAGCTTAGTGTGATAAAAGCATTTAAAGATACAATTGAACAAAACCCGCCATAATTTACAAAATTAGTTAGGTTACGAGCCGTCGTTGTACCCAAATCATCACCGTATTATTACAATAGACAACGTCCTTATCTTCTTAGTAGTGTAGCTACCCCTATCAATAAAATTTATTCAAGAAACCGAAGTGTACAAACAAATTATATAACAAAACATTTACATCGGTGGACTCGTATCTCTCTTGCTTCCAATCTTTTTTTTTTCTAAATTTTATCTTTAAATTAATTTATCCTTCTATCTTGTTCGTTGCTCTCTTTTCTTACACATTTGTGCGCATTTAGAATATGTGTGTTTCTTGCTTATTCTTCTTTTTTTGCAAACGTGTGATAAAGTACTTTCTTTTTTTTTAAAAGCACTATTTTACAGTAGAATTTCTTTTTCTCTCTTTTTACTCTCTGAAAAATCAGTCAGTCACAGTCAAGTGGTGCTACACAACAAATCGATGGCAATGTTGACTGTAAAAAAAGACAAAACAAAAAAAGAAAGAATAGACATGATAATTATAGTTCAATATCTTAAGACGAGGGAAGAGAAGAAAATACATCGAGTGATGATGACTGTCTCTACCTCCTTCTTTGGATAGGACCTCGATCGCTAGACTAGATAACAGAGTTCTGCGGGACAGTGAAAAGTCGTCCCATCCCGCGTCCCGTAACTTTTCTCTTTCATACGACTGGTCGATTTCTTTCTGAAATATCGTGATTTGCCAAAAGCTGTCTTGTCGTGACTCTTGGCAGGTCCAGTTCGACGGTTTTTTTCTTCCTAATTTTCAATGATAATTGGGTCATCACAAACTAATCCGAACTAGCGCGCAGTATTCGTCGAAGTACACTTACAAGGTTTTCTATTCAAACGAATAACCGATCTAGTGGTCGTACAGGGTTATCTGAGACCATTTTAAATGTTGTAAATCTTTCCTTAATATTTTTTTTGTAGAAGCTGCAGTACCGAGAACAGTGATTAGGATTGGCACAATCCAACCGGGGTGGATGTGGCTATGACTGTGGGTGAGAGGTGTACGTGTGAATGTGGCCATAACTATGGCTTTGGGTGTGAGCGGTGTATGCCACTGTGACTGAGGCGAATGTTGGCCTTCTTTTGAACCATGCAGCAATTACCCAAACCCATACTCTTAGTAGTTGAAGAGAGGGCCAACACCCATCCCTCCAATCGTGTTACATGGAAATATTCCACTTATCTAAGGGAAAACAAGTTTCTTTTGTTGCAGGGTGTGGGTGTGGGCGTGGGTGTGGGTGGGTGTGGGTGTGGGTCGGTGTGGGGTGTGTGGATGTGGGTGTGTGGGTGTAGGTGTGGGCGTGGATGTGGGTGTGTGGAT